GCTACCAAAAGCGCCTAGTTGCCGTGAAAATGGCCAAGGGACATGTAACCAAATACTAATGTTGCTGTATGTACAGTATATTTTTAACCCAGCAGATTTGGTGACATTTTCAGCAGACCCATAATAAATTTATGAAAGAACCAAATTTTATGACTGTTTTTTGTGACAAACATGTATGTGTTCCGATCACTCTATCACAGAAAAATAAGAGTTGTAGAACTTATTGAAAACTCAAGACAGCCATAACATTATGTTTTTTTACAAGTGTATGTCAACTTTTGACCACAACTGTACTGTATGTATACAGCCCTTTATATAGTCATTTGACCAATGGAAATACTGTGTATAAACACAGGATAATAGGTTACAACCTTGTAACTTTGGCAACTGTTGGTGGGCCAAATTAAATGGCTTGGCTGACCAAATTTGGCCCGCGGGCCCCACTTTGGGCTCCTCTGCTTTAAAGGCACCGATCGCGCTCCCTCTTCGTCCACTCAGAGACTGTGACGCGACGTCAATTGTGACCCTCTCATGACAGACTCTGAAAGAGCTGAGCTGAACTTTAAACCTTCAGTAAGTTAGTTTTGCAGTGTGCAGAGGTCCAGATCTTGGTGTCCTTCCAGGTAAAAGCGACCGCAGGCGGTGTGAGCTGTTAAGTTTCTGCTCTTCTCCCTGAGGTGTCAGTAACTGACTGGGAAACTGGATTTATCTGTGGTAGTGTCGGCTGATAAACTGCTTCACATTTTTTTCATCCCCCCGAGGGGTCAGTAACCTGAGAGAGGGGATTWAAAAAAAAACAAAACAGGTTTTCTCTGTAGCAATTTGGAAGGAATTGTCAGCTGTTACAGTTTGTTTCTTTTGATAAATTTTTAAAGTACGACTTTTAAAAGAACAAATTTTTCTTTTTCAAAGAGGAAGAACTGAGCTGAAAAGAGACAGGTAAGTCATTTTCTGGAAGGACAAAGACTGAGTTTATTCTGTTTTACTGAAATAACCTCATTGTCTATCAGCTGACTATGGTCCAAAAATGGAGTTACACCCATTGTTAAATAACCTGTCATAATAATATGAAAAAAAAAACTATTTATAAGGTTTTATTTGTTTCCTGCCCAAAAACTGCACTTCTACACTTGACACTAATATTACAAAGGAAACAAGAAGCTTTATTTTATTTATACATTTGTAAGAACTGAGTGAACTCAAGTGTTTTACAAATCATCATGTACAATCTGTTTGACTTTTAGTAGAAAGAAAACAAAAATATAACTCATAAGGAGAAAAACAGTCTTTTATTTTGCTTCTTGTATGCAAATTTGATAACATAATAATAGAAACAACTCTAAATTGTTTTTACTTTTGATTTTACATAGTGAACAATCTCTGCACAAGTCACTGAAGCATGTCCTCTCCTGAACACCTACTCGTCAATGAATACTGTATATTTCTCTCTTTAAACAATCCATAACAACAACTTAATTATTTGTATTTAACAGTTTATTCCATCTTGTTGAATATGAAAACTGTCACATTTATGATATAAAGGGTAAATATCTGTATGTAAATCAGTATTTGTTTACCTTTTAAAGCTTAAACTTGCTTAGATTGGACAATATTAGGTAGATTTATGAATAAACGGGTAACCCGTGAAGCTAAAGTTACATCTGCTTATTTTATCAGGCTTCTTTATAATAACCCTGAAAGAGAACAGCTGAAAGAAAAAAAAATACATTTTTTGTGGGTCTTCACCTGGGAAGATTTTAAAATTGTCCGTTGATTTTCAAAACCTGAGAGTCCCCACACATGCCGATAAAGAATCAGATATCACAGGCTTGGTTCTACAGTGTGTGACGTACAGTACAGCCACTAAGCAAATACAATACACACAAACAGATTGTACTCACGAACATTCAGACATCAGATGGGAAATCTTGCAAATCTTATCAATATCAAAAGTTCAGAATTAATAAACAAACACGGTCGACAAGGAAAAAGCAATGGCAATAATTTCTCTAAACAAATAGASGTTTCTGGACTTTCTGGTGGACCGTGGCATTTGTTTTGCCTTCTGTATTTGTGTGTCTGTCACCTGGCTCTCTGACTGGCTGTGAATCACATTGAACAGGCAGCAGCTCGTTTGTCCTCGGGGAACACCACACATGCTGGGATATTGGCCATGAAAATCCAACATGTTGCATATCCCAGATGTGAGATCGGAGTGGTCCCAACATCCTTTCAAACCAACTAGATCACACTTAACACATCGCACATAGCAGGAATATCTGCTCAGATTATCTTTAGAGCCATAACTGGGGAGTCCTTAAGATTGTCAGAAGAGGAAAATCATAATCATCTTGCTGTGTGAACTGGGGTTTACCGGGGAATTGTCACGACTGGAGCAAGATTCGAACCCAGAATGCAGGCAGACACTGGAAGCTCAGAAATAAAACTAATTTATTAATGAACAAAAACAAAAAGCTGACGCCATGTCAACAAACTTACATAAAACACAGGGAGCAGGTGATGACCGAAATAGTAGGTAAAACCATGCGAAGAACTAGTGAGGAAGTGGTGACAAGACACCGGTTAAATACAAACTGAGGAAGAGAGAAGATGGGCAACACCTGTGAGGGAGACTGATTACAAATGACTGACAGGTGAGAGTGAAAAATATTATAAACATAAAGTACCACAGAAATAAAACTGAAACACAAAAACTCTGACTGGAATGTCTATCTATGAAACAGATGATGTAATGATTTATCATAATGAATCTTTACACAAAGGCCTCTGTTATATTATCAGACTGCTGCTGGCTCAGACCATCTGTATTCAACCAAAGAGGAGAGGAAAGAGGAAAAGCCCTTATCATTATTGTCATCATCTCCTGCTGGCCTCTGCTTCCGCTGGACAGATGTACGCTGAGAAAGTTGTGACAGAGGGGAAGATGGGTGAGTGCACAAACTGGAACACACTCTTCTTTTTATGCTTTCATTCCAACCCATTGCTTCTAATACACATGCAGTAAATAAGCAATGTCTCACACAGATTAAAATACAGGGTTTTCTGTGTTTGTGTACAGAAATCAGTCCACTTCACTGTTAAACATTAACTGGCCTGTTACAGAAACAGCTTTGCCGTCTCTCTGATCCCTGTATTTGGTTTTGATGCTTGTTTTTCAGCTTGGTCAGCAGATACTTCGATTGGTTGTGATATTGCTTTAGTTTTTCCGTAAGCTTTAAACCAAATAGAAAAGCAATGCCAAAGCCAACGAATGGAGCCGTAATGATGAGTCATTAGTCTTCACTGAAACGCGACTTGTTTTATTTATTAAAGGAAACAAAACAAAACAAAACAACAACAAAAAAAAAACACTATTTTGACAATCATAATCAAGTCAGATTAATCATATGGCTAGAAAAGTTTGATTTTTTTTTTTCATTTTTAAATGTGATCAGGATATGTGGAAGCTGATGTTAAGAGGAAATACATCTCTCTCACACCTCCCCCACCTTCCTGGGTTTAAGGATTTAACTACGACATTTACAGATAAATGATTTTATAAGTTTTTATCAAGGTATATGCTGTCAAAATACAGATAAAATCGCCAAATTTTTTTCTACCTACCATGTTGAGTAAGTGACACCAATGTTACTTGCCCAACGTGAAAAGTTACCTGCCCGACACAAAAATGTTCAAAATATGATAATCTATCCATTATCTATACAAACGTCTTCCTTTCAGGGACACTGGAGCCCATATCCAGCAGTCACAGTGTGAGGGGCAGGGTACACCCTGGACAGGTCGCAAGTCCATCACACAGACACACATAGAGACAAACAACCGTTCACTCTCACTCACACCTAGGAACAATTTAGAGTTACCAATGAACCTAACAGTCATGGTTTTGGTCTGTGGGAGGAAGCCAGAGTACCCAGAGAGAACCCACACATGCACAGAGAGAACATGCAAACTTTGCCCAGAAAGGTGCTTGGGCCGGGATTTGAACTGGCGACCTTCTTGCTGAGAAGCAACAGCTCTACCAACTGAACCATCGTGACAATATTGTGTGCTGGAAAGTATTGGGGTCTGAGGGGTTTGAACCCAGGAGCAGACAGACACAAGAAAAGAACTCAAAGTTAAACTAATTTATTAAATAAAACAAAAGGCTGACAAGGCATCAAAACTTAGAGAACACAGGGAGGCACAGAGGACCGAGAGCGATGGTGTGAACCTTACAATGAACCAGCAGAGAAGTGGTGATGAGAGACCAGTAAAACAGAGCTAAAGCTGATGAGATATGAAAAGAAGCTGAGCTGATTAGAAGTGACAACAGGTGAGAATGACTGGAATTCTACTGAGAGGCAGGTGAGAACACAGAACAAGTGTAAGAACTGAAGATACTGGTTCCAGTACCAAAGAAAACTCACCCATCAGCCCTCAACGACTATAGACCTCTTGCCCTGACATCCCACATCATGAAGG